AATGTTAAACACTAACAAAAACTTGTGATCTGAATATTTTAGCATAGGAAAAGAGCCGAAAAAATCTAAATCACTATCTCATTAGAAAAAGAGATGAAAATCTTAAAGATTTAGCATATGAACCAATTCGTAACTGTAAGACTGTAATCACCTTGAGAAAAGAGGCAGGGGACGGCAACAAGCGTGGATTCCCGGCGGTGGGCAGATGTAAGTGTGTGACGGCGTGGGTTCCCAGTGGTGCGAATGCGATGGGTTCCCAACGGTAGTTGTGGGTTGCAGCACAAAGCTGGTGATGTTGGACGGTTGAGGCTTGAGCAGCGGCGAACGGGCGATTGGGAGAAAGAGACAACGTTGATCTTGAGCTTTGAGCTTGAGCTATGGCCAGTGACCGGTGCTTGACCACTGTCACTAACACTACCATCGGTTCTGGTGGTTGCTTGGGCGACGAGTCACTGACTAAGAGAAGAGAGGTAGAGGTAAGAGCCTAAGAGGAAAGATGAGATGAGCAACGATGGCGTTCAAACTCCGACGAAAGGCTAGTGGTTGGTCGGATGATGAGGGGCGGTGACCGGTGATGGACCGATGGTGGTTTCTTGGGCGGCAACCGGCGACGACGAAGGGAGTGACAAAGGATTAGGGTTTTGAGAGATAAAACTGAAAGAGTTCGAATGTAATGTTCAATTGTGAGATTTTCAAACTAATGCTATTTTTCATTTTCTTTTTTTTTTTTTTACTTTTGTAATATATATATATATATATAATCGGTTCAAATATTTATCAGATCAGATCAATGTATATCCGAATTCAACCAAATATTTGATTCGAATCATCCGAATTCGATTCGATTAAAACGAATCTCATATTCGAATTCGGATTTTCAAATACCCTTAGTCCATTGTGTGGGTTCACTTGATTCACATCCGGAATTGGAATCGAATGATCTATTCTCATAATTTGTTTGGTTCAGACAAAAATTAGAATGGGAATTGAAATTAATTAAAATGAGATTTCATTCCCAATGAAGGGAGAGGGAATGGGCCATTTCCTTAAATGGACAAATGTCATTCCACTAGGAGCGAGAGGAATTAGATTCTAATTACACTCAGCCAAACAATTGGGCCCATTCCAAATCCATACCCTATTCTGCAAACCAATCAGGCCCTAATATATTTAACAAAAGCGCCCCCTTGTCAAGAAGATATACACTTTAACAGTAGATTGGCAATGTGGTCGTTGTGACTATTGATAGTGATGGTGTCTCATTCTAGGCAATAATGGGGAATAATGAATAACATTAGAGTGTTTGGTTACAAAATTATTGCCAACAACCACATTATTTTCATTCAGCCCCATAGCACAAAAAATGTATAGCGGCATGAAAAATAATCATGCCCCATCTTGCTCATTTCATTATTTGAGAAAACTCTACTTATAAAGCTCGTCATATATGTTTACTTTTGCGAAAGCACTTTTACAAAAGTACTTTTATAAAACTACTTTTACGAAAGTACTTTTATAAAACTACTTTTACGAAAGTACTTTTATAAAACTACTTTTACATGAAAGCACTTTTATGAAATCACTTTTACGAAAGCACTTTTATGAAAGTACTTTTACATGAAAGCACTTTTATGAAAGTACTTTTATAAAAGCACTTTTACGAAAGTACTTTTATGAAAGCACTTTTATGGAAGTACTTTTACGAAAGTACTTTTATAAAAATACTTTTATATAAGTACTTTTAACAGAAGAACTTTTATAAAAGCACTTTTACGAAAGTACTTTTATGAAAGCATTTTTATAAAATCACTTTTATGAAAGTACTTTATAAAAGCACTTTTATGGAAGTACTTTTACGAAAGCACTTTTACAAAAATATTTTTATAAAAGCACTTTTATGAAAGTACTTTTACAAAAACACTTTTATGGAAGTACTTTTATAAAAACACTTATGAAAGTACTTTTATAAAAACACTTTTACGAAGTACTTTTACAAAATAATTTTTATGAAAGTACTTTTATAAAACATCTATGCCAATTGGTAAACATTGACTATTTGATACCTAGGCTGGTGGTTTGTGAATAACGACGCTTTTTTTTTTTTAATAATGAAAATGAGTAACATATGTCACTTGTTAGTCTGAATTAAAAGAATTCATTTTTAGGAAAAAAAGTGTTTGGTTCATTGCAATATTTTCTCATTCTGCATATTTTTACCCATTATTTTCCATTTTAGAATTTCATCTTGGGTAAGAATGAGAAGGAATGAGAATTGAACCAAACATGGCCCAAGTAACCAAGACAGAGATGAGTCTCACTTCAAGTGGGAGGTCCATGTATAATCATACATTTGGAAGCAAAAATGGATTTTTTTCTTACAAAAAATATATTAAATTGGAAAAAAGGAATATGTTTTTTATATAAATTCGTGCTCTTTAAATTCACTCCAAATGGTACTAGAATAAACAAAACTATGAAATCTTAAATTCGCTCCAAGACAAGAAAGTTTCTTAAGGTGAATTGGGCATACCAACTTCACATGCACATCCCATAATGTATTGCAAACATCTCCCGTGAATAATAACATACAAGTACAGAAAAATGTTCCCGATATGTGGTTGAGACATGCTGTGAGACTGATGGAAGTAACATAGAAGAAAATTCGAATTYGTGAGGCTCCACGATGTGTGCACTAGATCAAGAATGTATGAAGGTTTATGATCAGAGTGAAGTACGCATACAAAACAAATTTGATTAACAATTAATACCACGTTAGAGTSCCCAACTGATAATGATCACTCCCTTATTTATTGGTGGACTAGGTTAGGAAATAGAAAGGGAAAGTAATAGGCATATAGTGAGAGATAAATTTGCCTTTATTTTGTGGGCTGTTTGGAGGAATCGAAACCTCAAGATGTTCAACAATGTAACGGTCCCCCCACCGATGCTTTTGAAAAAGGCACTTAACATGTTATTGGAACATTTTGAAGGGTCAAAGAACCCAGTAGTGGACTTTAATGAGAAGACTTGGAAGCCTATCATATGGAAATGTCCAAAATTTGGTTTCATTAAGATCAATTACGACGTATCTTGCAATAGTGAAGGAAAGTGTTCAGTTGCAAGCATAGCACTTGATCATTTGGCTCAGTTTGGAATGAGTACAAATACAAATACATAGAAAATAATACAAAATATAAAGTTTTGTAATTTACAAATTTATATTTAATGTACTCCTTCCAAATTGAGCCTTTAGGTCAAATTCTAGACACTAAAATTTATAAGATTGGCTTATGCACTATTAATTAAACAGAAACTTAGGCTGCTTGGAAAGCCCATACCATGGCTTTGAATATCAGGAATCATCCAAACATCATTGAAGGCGATTCGAAATTGGTCAATTTATGTCACAAGCACAAAATGTGGATGTGAGATTTGTTCAAGCAAGGGCTAGCGTTATGTGGTGTACCATCATTTAGAGAGGCAAATCAAGCAGCTGATCGATTTTCTCATAAGGCTCATTCTCCTTCTTCGACTGTCATAGCTTTAAATTCATTGTCTCTTCCTCATTCACTTCTCTCCTTTGTTGACTTTTGGAGACGCACCATTCCTGGTTTTGTACGGTGCCGTTCTGATTTATTAAAAAAAAAAAAAATAAATAAAGAGTGAAGTAGGCATTGGAGGGAAATAGACTGAATTGTACCAAACAGCAACCGCCATGCGAGGTTATGCAAGTGTTCTAGATAAGGGTGATCATTTCAGCCCGGCCCGGTGTAGGTTTTGTGTTCAGGCCCGTTCCAGGCCCAGGCCTATATTAGGCTCGCAAATTTTAGGGCCGGGCTTGGGCTTAATACTTCAAGCCTGACCTGTGCCTGATTCGACCTGCATATATATTTATATATATATATATTTAAACTTACACATTTTGTGTATAATGTATGTATATGTATACATGTTGTTTTACATTATATTATATATTTATATATAAATATTATAACATAACATATATAATTTATATTATATGTAATATTTTATATAATATAATGTATAAAATAAGTTTATATGCATGTTATGCCATTTAATATATAGATATAGATATGTAATATTTTAGACATTGGCTCGGAATCAGGCCCGGTCCAGCTCGGACCCGTATAGACCTGGACTAGGGTTTATGTTTTAGGCCCAAAATCTCAGGTCGGGTCAGGCCCGAGCCTAAACTATAGCCCTTATCATAAGTGCAAAGCCCGGCCCGACCCGACCCATGATCACCCCTAGTGCTAGCCTTTCAAATAATCACTTCCAATTCCTAAACTTGGTCTAAGCATTAAAGCACAAAGATTTTTTTTTTCTTTTTACGGTAAGAACTAAAGCACAAAGATTGAGTGTGCTTAGGAGTGCTGAAACATAGCAGCGTTGGCCTTTTGATGGGAGCACCGTGCCCACATGGAAAGAGATGTTTAATGAAAACCTAGAGAAACCAGTCGTCATTTAGGTGGTGTTTGTTTCCACTGTCAACAGTACCATGTATTGCCGTTTTCTAGAAAAATAATATACTATTACATTGCTGTTTTTCTAAAAAATGTAATAGGACCAAACACTACCCTAGTTATTTAAAGAACTGTATTTTACCGCCTCTTTAAATAACTTATCCGAAACAGATGAATCTTCCTGGACTTTTGGTAAAAGCAGTTGAACCAGCTGACTTCTCCCAAACATCCCTCAAAATTGGCGCTTTGTTTTTCCGCCTCTGAAATCATAAATTTTGGAGACTATCCAAACGTAACCCTAATTATTAAAAATTTTAAACGATTATGTAAAAAAAGGGGCATTCGCTGAATAATGAATACACATAGACAAAAACAACTGGCAACCGGTAAATAGTTAGTAAGTAGTCAAATTACCGTCGCCAGCCAGTAATTTTAAAGAAGAGAACTGAGAAAAGTACAACGGCAACAGAAAATTAATAAACAAACAAAATAGAAATTAGAAATAGACGAAGAAAAGTGGAGCGTTGGTGGAAATGATGTGTCTTGGTAAAAAGTCGTCTTCTCAAGGGGCCGACGGCTTTTCCAAATTTCCGAGTCCAGCTCTCTTCCTCTCGCCAAGGGGTTCTTCGCACCAGTGATTAATCTTCTGACTCTTCTCTTCGGCTCTTCGCGTCGTCTCCCCGACTGTACACACTTGCAGGGCATCTCGTCGGCGGTTGGTGGCCACCCACTCGCAAGATCTCGTTTTTCTGCAGTCGGATCTGGCCGGGAAGTTGAGAGGATCGAAAGGAGAATCGAGGACTTGGGTTCCTTTACTGGATCTGGGAGGAGATGGCCTTGTCTGGAATGAGAGGTCTCTCCGTCTTCATTAGCGACGTGAGGAACTGCCAGAACAAAGAGCAGGAGCGACTCAGAGTTGATAAGGAACTTGGCAACATCAGGACTCGTTTCAAAAATGAAAAGGTTAGGGTTTCTGTCCCCTCTATCCGGTTCTCTCACTCTCTACGTGGTTCCATCATATCTCTGACTGTTGATCAATCACCTCTGTAAGAGGTAGTCGAAGATAAATTTAGTGCTCTGAGTCCTTGGTTTATGGGGTTTAAGCTACCGTTGATTGTATTAACTATTACGTTAGTTGAAGGCCTCGAGGCAACGGGCAATGTTTTTATTTATTTTTTGTTCCGTTTTGATTTTTTATAGTCTTCAATGAGATTGTCGGTCATCCAACAGAGTGATACCGGCCTTTTGCTTTTTAAATGTCTCTGGGAGTGCACCATAAGAAGCCATTTGGGGTAAGAATTTGTTGTTAAGAGGCATTTAAACATAATATTTACTTCGTAGTTAGTAGGCCTTTCCAATTCGTGAACAGGAAAAGTTGCAGTTTTGATGGTATTAGGTCCATTATTGGCTAATCTAACTGGCATTTGTTTTATTGATAGCATGAGGATAAAGTTTGAAAAACATGAATTTTGAGTAGAATTGGCGCGAGACTTTTTTTTTTTTCCTGGTAACAGTACAAGTTACTATAAGTAGAAAATGGGAACGGGCTAAGTTGGGAAGTCTATGAGCTGTTGCCAAGAGCATGGGTTCGAAGTATCGTCTTTTTGAACCAACTCCTTAACACGCAAGTGAACTATTGCATCGAAAAACAGCATTTATGTATTTATTTTTGGCCGGCCATGGGCTACCCCACTTGGCAGCACCAAAAGAGCCACAGAGGAGAAGTTGCCTTCAGCCTTGTGGAATGGATATCTGTTAATTGTCTCACGTAGTAATGATAAGATTTCCTCCATCATACTGCGGGATAAATTAAAAGTGGTGGACACAAAAACCTTGTAACTAAATTGATGGTCATGCGAAAACCCATCTTAAGAACTTAATATTTGGTTGCATAGCTTTCTATGTAAATACAGATATTCAAATCACCAAAGCCGTTATAAGTCTTGTATTTACCCTTCTTAGTTTTTTTTTTTTTTTTTTTTTTTTAATTTTTAATTTTTGACAAGCACCAGCAATCAAAGAGTTTACTAAATATACTGAAATGGAGAAAAAGTACCAGAGATATTCCCCTACTTTTTGAGTTACTCTGAAAGGGGAAAATGGTATTATCATTGTCATACATAGAAATTCATACAGAGAAGACAAAAACCTCCACTGGGCAACACTGTCCCAATACATATCACGGTCATGGGTAAGGTTTAAAATGTGGATTTTGGTGAAAATGTCAAATAATTAAAAAATAAGAAACATGCCAGCAATATTGAAAATTTTGTGTTGAATTGTTGTAAAATTTTAGAACTATATAAATACTGCTACATTATTTTATCAATCAAATAATGTATAATTAATTTTATTTATATTATATGTATATGTAAGTATTATTTTATATTTTTAATTTGGTTTTTAATTTTTTATTTGTAAAAATGCCAAAAAAAGGAAAAGAAGGATCAAAGGGTAAATTGGGATTTGGTCTCTAAAAGTAGGGATGATGGAGGATTAGGAATAGGCAATATTCGGAAGAAAAATGAGGCTTTGTTGGGGAAATGGATGTGGAGGTTGTAAGGTGAGAGGGGAAAGCTGTGGACGAGAGTTATTTCCAGTATTTATGGTCAAACAGAGGATGGCTAGGATACAAGGTCTTTGGCAAGGTCAACGGGTGGCTCCCCTTGGAAATCCATTCATGCCATTCTACCTTCATTTCTACAGCACATCAGGTATGACCTTTGTTGTGGGAATCAGGTAAAATTTTGGGAGCACATTTGGGTAGGCGATTTACCTTTGAAAGACCAATTTCCCTCCCTTTTCTCACTTTCCCGATACAAGGGCAAGTTTGTGTCTAGCTCTGGTTCCTTCTCAGTCCAATTTTGGGTTTGATTGGGACTTGGGATTTAGGAGAGGCGTAAGGGCAGAAGCGGAAAATGTAATGAAGTTGATTCAAATCCTGAATGGGGTGGTGTTGGATCCCTTTGAGAGGGATAAGAGACTATGGACCCTAACTCCATCCGGGACATTCTCTTGTGCTTCCTTCTTTTATTCCCTTTTGCATTCTACCGGCAATTTTGCACAAATTTTCCTAGTTAAGGAAATTTGGGGTGAGCTGATTCCTCCAAGGGTTGGAGCTTTCTGTTGGGAAGTCTTCTTGGAAAAACGCAATACATGTGATGTACTCCAAAGGAAAAGGCCTTATTGGTGCTTATCTCCCAGTTTGTGCTGGTTTATTAATTTCTTGCCCTCTTGCTTCTGTTATTTGGAAATGGTTTCTTTCTCTTTTTGGTTGTAGGTGGACCCCTCCCCCCCGTCAAACATCCAAAGCTTGTTTATCTCCCTGTTCCATAGATGGCCAAAGAGAAAGGGAAGGGTTATGTGGAGATGTGTGAGGGTGACTACTTGCTGGACTCTATGGGAGGAAAGGAATTCCAGAATTTTTTTTTTAAAGGAAAGAAGTAAAGAAGGTATTATTGAGGCCATAACAGTTAGGGTGATGCATTGGATAAAATCTATAAAGCTATTTGATGATGCTTCTACGGATATGTTGTTGAACAACTGGATGGAAGTGGCTAGTTCTGCATTGATTCGTTTTTCTACTGCTCTTGTGTGGACACCACCTGGCAATGGATTTATAAAGTTAAATTTTGATGGGTGAAAAGAACAACAAATGCATTTGTAGATGCTTTGGCAAAGCAGGGGGTGGGAAAGGATCAATTGTATTGTGCTGTATTGCGAGATGTTGTTTTGCTCTCTTGTAGAGATTTAAGCCTTTTTAACTCTCTCTGGATTGCTATACCTGTTTCTTATAATTCTAATGAAAATCTGTTATTGATAAAAAAAAAGTTACCCTAAATCGATATAAAGATCACCCAAATCGGACAATCAAGCATAATGGCCTATGGAATTTTTCACATACATTGAGTGTGCAACCCATGGCCCAATGACTGGGTTGAATGGGTCAACAGTTTAACTGTTCGGGTTGGACAGGTTTTGACCAGGTTAACATTTTTTGACCAAAGTCCAGGTTTTAGGAGAACCGGACCCAGAATCATGGCAGGGTGACAGTTCGAATGGTTCAACTGTCTAGGTCAACGATGGGTTGAAAATACTGCTTTATAATGATAATTTGACATCATCATTCAAAGGACTATATCATTTAATGATTACATAATATTCAACATGACCTCGTACTGCTACTCGAATAAAGTTTAATGTTTAAAGAATTATTATATTGCCATGATATTGTTATATGATATACAAGGGCTGGAAATAATGACGTGTAGCTAGATTGGATATTATAGAGGATTTTCAAGTTGTAATTGGGTGGATTGGAGAACTATTTGTTGTTATCTAAGCAGTGCAACACACAAGAGACATGAATTTGAACAATGTGATCATTGAAGGGGACTCAAAAATAGTGATTAGATGGTTGAAGAGTAGTGATAGGATAAGGTGGATTTATGAAAATGAGATGAAAATGTTTAAATGGCTGGAAAGGAATATGCACATGTGTATACAATGGGTGGAAAGGCCAGAAAATAGTATGGCAGATGCTTTGGCTTAACAAGGAGTTACTAGGGGTTGATTGTATTGGGCTTCTTTGTAATATATAAATGATTCATGGGGGGAGGAATCCTCCCAATCGGGAGACCATAATTGTATATGTAATCTCAGTTTTCTTAATAAAATTCATTGTTACTGATCAAAATAAAAAAAAGTAGAGATTGGGTGGCACTACAGAGATTGGGATTAATTCTAGCAAGGGGCTTGTCGGAGGTGAATGAAAAGAATGTAGAGGGGTCGAGGAGGAGCTGAATGACAGAGTGCAGGAAAAAGAGGAAATGTTTTAGTTGGGAGATGAGGTAGTGGGGTCTTCTGTGCTGGAAGAGTGTGCAAAAGCCATGGGTTGTTTGGTGGGAGCATTCCCTTTTACTTATTTGGGACTTCCCATTGGTGCAAAAGCTTCTGAGCTTTCAACATGGCAGCTGGTGATAGATAGGATTGATCAAAAGCTAGCAGGGTGGAGGGGGAGGTATTTATCATTGGGAGGAAGGATCACACTTAAAAGTGTGATGTCCATTTTACCTGTGTATTACCTTTCCGTTATTAAGATTCCAGCTGCGGTGGCTGATGAGTTAGAGAGGATTCAGAGGGAGTTTAATTCCTCTGAATTCTGAAGTCAAGAAGTTTCCTTTGGTGAAATGGGATTGGGTGTGTAGGACCAAAAAGGAGGTTATTGGAGAAGGCGTTGCTGGGTAAGTGGAAGAATATAGTAATTTCACAGCGTTATGAATTAAACCAGGGTTCAGTGGTCCAGAAATCGGACCCCAAAGTTTAAAAGGCCTTTGTTGGATAGAGAGGTGGGGGGATTTATTCAGCTGCTGTCCAAATTACATGAAGCAGAAATTGATGTGAATAGGCCGGATGGAAGATGGTGGAAAGAGTGCAGAAATGGTAGATAATCTTTCTACAAGGCTCTATCAGAAATCAGGTGGTTGGTCCCGGATTGAAAGGAGATTGGCTATGTAGAGGCATTGAGATACAATACAGCTGGGTGAAAAGGACTGTTAATTCTTTTGCAGATGGGTTGGCCAAGCAAGGGGTGAATAGGAAGGCTATTTTTTGGGTTAATTTTTAATCTTCTTTCATTGTAATTTTCTGATGGGGAGATAAGACTCTTTATCTCCCCCTTTTTGTACCTAAAGCTTCATAATTCTTAATAACGTTTCTGTTATTGATTAAAAAAATAAAAAAACCCCAGTTCCCCCAAGGGTGGAGGCCTTTGTATAGCTGGTCTCGCTTGACAGTATTCTTGCACAAAATAATATCAAGAGTAGAGGATTCCCTTTTGCTAAAAGATGTGTTCTTTGCGAGGCAATGGAAGAAGATATTCTTGATCTTTGTGCTGGTTTATTCTAAATGGAAGCAAAAAAGCTAAAATTTTTGGAGCTGCATTCTGTTTGTGGTATGTTGGCAAGTTTCGTAAGAAATGAATAGAGGGATCTTTGAAGGAAAAACATGTAACAAAATGAAGATGTGCTCGAGGATTGGATACTTATCTTACCAAATTTCAGAGATGTTTCAAGAGATCCTCTTGAAGAAAAGTTTTGGGAAACAGCAGATAGTTTGGTTCTGATGTAAAAGCTTGAAATAGTTGTCTTTTGCTTTTTTTCTGTTTTAGGGTGATTTCTCATCATCTGTTGTACTCTCGATGTAATCCTTTTTTCTGCTTAATAAATTTTCTTTTTATTTACTACCAAAAAAATGTGGTACTGTGGTTTGAAGGAGGGGGGCTGACATAGAAGAGCATGCAGGCCTATAGAAGAAAGAGAAGATATAGACTAGACCACTAGAAGATAATGATGATGATGACAAAGAGGAGGATGATAGAAATGATCAAATAGAAGAAATTAAAATGGATGAAACCCACACAATAGAGAGATCTATTGATGTTGAGGAAGTAGTGAACATAGAGGTTGAGGTGAGTGGAACATTGGCTTTATACTTTTTCGGTGGGGAAGAGTTTGCAAGGAGGGCTTTTCAAGAGTTGGAACAAGGTTCAAAGTATCAATATGATACGCCCCGTATTGGGCATATCGTATCGTATCTTTTGGTCCCCGATACACCTGTTTACAGGTGTTTTCGGGAACCCATTTTTTAAAATAATATATGTCAAAATATTTGACACTGAAACTTGAAAGAAACTAAAAAAATAAAATGAGTATTGTTCCAAGTACCGATACACCTCTGCCGAAACACAGAGGTGTATCGATACTTTGAACCTTGAGTTGGAAAACAAAAACTTTGAGAATGGACAAGGAGTATTTTCTTCTGGAGAAGGCAATGACTAAGAGAACTCCTTTTACAGGGTTTGTTCAAGTTCTTCTGAGGAAAGAAAGAAGAGAGGTTGGAGAGTTATTTACAACTTTGATGGGATAACTTAAGAAGGGTCCCTGACCTTTTTCCAGCTGCAATTGGGGGAGTCATTTACAACTCTGATGGGAACATTGCTTTATTTTTGGGGCAAAATCGTAATCTGATGTATTTTGGGCTGCTGGGAACTTATTAGCCTTTTTGTGATTTCTTTGTAACTGTAACTGGAAAAGCACTTGGGGATGACATCCCTGTCATCACATTGTACTGCTACAGTTTAATTCTAATAAAATGATTTCTTCTGCTGATAAAAAAAATTGCTTTGGTTTTTAGTGGCCTCATTTCTGCTCAAGATGCCTCAGAGGCAGAGGTTCATGCTTTGTTGGTGGGCCTATGGTCAGCTAAATCATACCAGGTTGACTCTTTGTTAGTTGAGGGTGACTCTAGAATCGCTGTTGGATGGGGAAATAAGAGAAGTGCAGGTCCTGAGAGGCTTGCTCATTTCTTGCAAGAAATTTTTGACATCTTAGATCTGATCCATCGCAGCTTTAGATGGATTCCCAGAAATTTAAATGTTCTGGCAGATGCTTTAGCAAAGAATGGGGTGGGAAGGGATACATTATATAGTGCAAATTCTTAGTCCTACTCTTGAGTGGGCTTTTGGTTTTTATTTTATTTTATTTTTTGTTTGGAAGCCCTGTTTGTACATTTTCTCATGTAGATCCTCTCCTATGTATATATATTGATCAGAAACTCAAGAAAATTTTATTAAGATTAATGAACAAAAAGGTACAACAAGAAGTTGTTAGGCCAAAGATCCTGTACAGCAAAAAATCCCCCACACATTTAACATTGAGCCCAAAACAAATGCTGTCTGCGAGTTCCTTGCTTAGCCAAACCATTTGTCATTTGCAGACCTCCTAACCATCTTACTTGGATTTGCATATATCCTCCCCTATATTTTTGAATGACAGTTAACCTTTTATAAAAAAAAAGGAAAAGCGAGATAAATCTAAGGATAAAATCCAGGGGGAGGTTGAGACTGAGAACTGGCCTGTGCTAGTTCTTCCTTTATTTAGTGCAGATACATTCCATCGGAGGCGTCTTTCTTCATTTGGACTGCTTACCTGAATAAGATTCCTACAAGAGATAACTTGGTTTGTAGGGGTTTGTTGATTGACTCTAAGATGTGTCTTGTGCAACAGTGCCAATGAGTCTGTTGACCACCTGTTACTGCACTGTGACTTCACTCACAAAATCTGGGTAAGGATTCTCAGAATTTTTGCAGTCAGAAGTAGCTACCCAGAATCAATGGCTGCTTTCATCAACAGCTGGAGAGTTCAAGGCCTAAGCAAGAAAGAGAAAATTCTTTGGCATCTGATTCCAGGTGCTGTGTTATGGTTGATATGGCAAGAAAGAAACTCAAGGATATTTCAAAACAAAAGCTGTCAAGAAGATGAAGTGTGGCAGAGGATCGTGGGGAAGCTGTTTTCTTGGTCTTCGACTCAGTTTAAAGTTGACAGTTCTTATTATAGTTCTCTTTTGGACTTTGAAAATCTGTTTGTATCTCCCAATGGGATAGTGGTTTGAGTGTTGTTTTGTATCTCAATTGTACCGCCTCTGGTTATACCTTCATTTTAATGAATTGATACTTCTTCTCGAAAAAAATAAAGATGCCCAATGCAGTCAGACACTTTAAATGTGAAAAAAATCAAAGGCCCATCAAGGTTTCAAAAGTTTTTGCTTGATTGAAGGGGGGCTTATTTGGGATAGGTCCTCTAAAGAAGGTGAAGAAGACTGAGAAGGTTAAGAAGAGAAGAATAGTGATGGAATCTAATCAAACCAAGGAATACACACATTTAATGGATAAAGTTTTGAGTGACTTTTAGGTAGAGTCCATGATTTGTATTTAGAGACTCTTGTCTGCATGTGACGTCATAGGCTATTATTATCCTTGCTAACAATCCTGTGGTTGAGTTGGTCTTGTAGCTTCCTGTATAATGAGGAGGTGCAGGTTAAAACCTTGTGGATGGGCAGGCTCTCTGTATTATTGCCAGTGGGTTCTGTGTGCACCCTTTCTAATACCACTAACCTTGTAACTAGGTCTAGTTTATAGCATCTCACTTGTCTAGGGGCCAAATCAGCATTGGAACACAAAAAAGGCTATATTTCCTTATTTTTCTCTGAAAATGTCTTGGCAAGATGTTTCTGTTCTATTTTTCTCTGATTTGATTTACCATCTTGGGGGGATCTTGGAATACTAAGTCATAGGGCAAATCTATATACCTGATGTTACCAATGGCACGATCATGTGCTTCTCTCCTTTTTTAGGAGTTTGATTAATTAAATTTCAGTTGATAATCAATTTATCAGCTTGAACTGGCCCTTAGTCGTGTCATCACTAAAATAAAGTATATGTAGGATCTCATTACATGGGCTATCTATAGCAAAATAGGCTAAGATTGTATACATGTGTGGGAACCTATATTACCCAGATGCAGCTAATACATGATTGGATATGGAATTTGCACTAAAAATTGAAGTATCCGACATGATAGGGCACTGTTGTAGGCTTGTACAGATATCTGGGTATCATAGGTGGGAGCTAGAATCATTTTTTTAGCTGGTTAAATTTTCATCTATGTTCAAGCTCTGATTGTGATGGATATGGCACTAAACAGAATGGAATGGTGAAACAGTATTCATGTAGCTGAATCCATATAGTTGGGACAAGGCTTAGATGATGATGATGAATTGATTCTGATTGGTATTTGGTCTCTGAAATGTGTCGCTTGTCATAGATCTAGCAAATGATTAGTTGGTGTAATTTTCAGGTGCCATATTTTAATTGGTTAAACATTTGTCTATAATTCTGAGTGCCCTTTAGTTTATAACATATGCGGTATGCCTCTTGTGATAGACTTCGTAAATAATTTGTCGGTATCATTTTCGTGTTTCTAAATGAGGTGGTTACAATCAATTGTATCCTAAAACTTGAAATTTTGAATAATTTCCATGTAAATAGAACCTGCCATTAGTTCCTTGTTTGTATAAGAGTGGCAGAGTTTGCTTGAACTTCATCTGGAAAATCTAGATTTCATTATTTGCTTTTTTATCCAGGTTTACTTTTGTTAAATGTTAATTCCTGGCCCTGGGGGATAAAAGAAAATTAACAACTCCAACTTTTAATGGACATACAACTTTGAAATTCCTACTATCTGGCTTCCAGCATATTCATATTCTCCATTCTACAAATCTATGTGAGACTTCATTTGGATTCTGACGGGATTCCTAATGATTTGTGGCTTTGTATTCTTTTTACAGGGTTTATCACCGTATGAGAAGAAGAAATATGTTTGGAAGATGCTTTACATATACATGCTTGGATATGATGTAGACTTTGGTCACATGGAAGCTGTCTCTTTAATATCTGCACCAAAGTATCCTGAAAAGCAGGTATAAATTTGATCCCTCATTCATTGCATTTTAGCCATAATAATAGTCTTCGTTTCAAATTGTTCACATGATCATTTTGTTACTTAAAGATAATGAAAAAGTATTGATTAAGGAAATAAAAATAATAAGAGTAGCTTGAGTTTTTGTTGTGACTTTACCTAATTGTTTTTTGCTCTGAATGATAGTGCTGCATTTTAGGGGGTCCAAAAATATGATTTGGAAGGTGGAAACAAGGTTCAAAGTATCGATATACCTGATATGCATGAACCTGCTTATTGGGTATTTCAACTGACCATAATTTTGTTTTGTTTTTTTTTTTTGTAAGTTTTCCCCTTAAAATTGATCAAGGGGTCGGTCTTAGGCCTGCATAATAATAATTCTGTATTTTACTGGTTGATGAACCATTCTAGAGCTCTGAGGGAGAGCACTTGGCCTCTGGGTAGAGAAAGTTTCATGTTTGATCAGTGTCGGGAAAATAAGAAAGATAGGATTTGATTGATTGAGAGATTTGAATAAATTTAGGAAGGATTAGATTTGAATAATTTTAGGAAAGTCATATCCTAGGATTAAGGGAAAGATTYAGTCAATCCCTGATTRMGAGAGATTCTARGKGTYTDYCTTTCCTATCTTTTCTTATTTAAGTTGTATGCTCAACATGTTTTTATTATCAATAAAGAAAATTCTCTTTTCTCTCTCCCTCTATATTTCGCCACATGGTAT